GCGTCTATGGATCTGGACTCTAAGTTAAGAGGAGTTAAACTGAAGACTCTGAGTGTCGGCGGCGTCACAGACGGCAGGAATACAGTCCTCAGTGGATTCAGGGGATGCGTTCAGGTGATTATCTCTCTCTCACACACACACACGTGATCATCACACACACACACACACACATGTGATCATCACTCACACACACACACACACACACACACACACACACACACACACACACACACACACACATGTGATCATCACTCACACACACACACAGACACACACACATACACACTGTCATGTGATCATCACACACACACACGTGATCATCACACACACACACACACACACACACACACATGTGATCATCACTCACACACACACACACACACACACACACACACACACACACACACACACACACACTCATGTGATCATCACACACACACACACACACACACACACACACTCTCACGTGATCATCACACACACACACACACTCACACATGTGATCATCACACACACACTCACTCAGAGATCCTCTGCAGGGTTTGCGTCTGGGCGAGACCCCCTCGGCTCCGGTGTTTCCCAGCATGCATCAGGCTCAGGTGTTGAACGTGGAGTCGGGCTGCAGTTTCCCGAACGCCTGCGGATCAAACCCGTGTCCCGAACACAGCGAGTGCAGAGACGGCTGGGACACACACTCCTGCCGCTGCCACACCGGTCAGTCTACACACTCGCGTATCTCACTGAATACATCATATATGGACCATAGACTGCATAACATATGTGTGTGTGTGTGTGTGTGTGTGTGTGTGTGTGATGTCACGCTTAGTGTTTCTGAAGCCCCAAGTGGGCGGAGCCGGCCGTCGCCGTCTTGGCCGCGCGTCACTCCCGGATAAACGAACATGTGCGGCGAGGCGGATTAGCTGAGGTGACGCTAACGCTAGCAGACAAACGGCTAGCAGTGACATCAGCGGCAATCCACCTGTCACTCAAGTGGCCACGCCCTTAATTATGCAGAACTTTAAGGCTTAATATAATTTAAACGGATGAGTTATATAAACATCCCCCCTCACAGTCGTCATGAAGGGCAACATTAGCGATATAGAGCAAAACCACTTTTAGCTCCAGACTGTAAACATGTGTTTTTCTGCTGTAAAGTTGGGCATTTTAACATGCGGGTCTATGGGACTGAGTCTCTTCTGCAGCCGGCCTCTAGTGGCCAGTGGAGGAACTGCAGGTTAAGACGCTCAGTGTTGAGAGAGAGAGAGAGAGAGAGAGAGAGAGAGAGAGAGAGAGAGAGAGAGAGAGAGAGAGAGAGGCTGCTGGTGGAAATGTACACACACACACATATCTTGATGTTATTTGTGAACAGGTTACTATGGCAGCAGCTGCACTGACGCCTGCGCACTGAACCCCTGCGAGCACCAATCAGCATGCAGCAGGAAGATAAGCTCCGCCCACGGCTACACCTGCACCTGTCCCAGCAGCTTCTTCGGCCAATACTGCCAGAAAAAGTAGGAGATGTTTCCTGAGGCGTCATGACTCGTGGCAGTGATGTGTGTACTGACGTGTGTGTGTGTGTGTACTGACGTGTGTGTGTGTGTGTACTGACGTGTGTGTGTGTGTGTCAGGACGGACCTGCCGTGTCCCCGCGGATGGTGGGGTGATAAGTCATGTGGTCCGTGTAACTGCGACACGGCTAAAGGCTTCGACGCCGACTGTAACAAGACCAGCGGAGTGTGTCGCTGCAAGGTGACGAGCGAACTTCACAAACACATGATCAAACTATTAATGTTTACTTAGTTACTGTTTTACATTTTTTAATTTTCAATGAATTAATTATTTATATTTTTGTATTGTTTAGTAAATCATATAAATATTATATTATTAATTTTAGATTATTACTTCAAAATTTTGAATTATTTGTATTATATTATTTTATTTTTTATATTGCTCCATACATATTTGTATAGTATTTTATTAAACAATCTAAATTTAAATCATGTAATAAAATATTATCAGATTTATTAAAAAATATCAAATTAAAATATGTATATTTATTACATTATTTTTATATTGTTTAATCATTGTACAGTTTATTTTTTGTTATTCTATTGTTTGGTACATTTTTACGTAATTTCTTGTATTATATTATTTTATTTGAATGTTTTTCATTTTAGATTGTTTAATAGACCACAATTGATTTCTATTCTATTATTTTATTTTTATATTGTTTAATAATTTGTAATGTAAGTTTTTGTATTATATTATTTTATTTTAATGTTTAAAGAATTATACAATTTAATATTGTTTAATAAATTAAACATAAAATAAAAACAATAATTTTACATTGTTTAATACATTTTATAATGTATTATTATTATTATTATTATATTAATGCATTTAATAATTTATTATTATATTATTTTATTTTGATATTTGAGTATTTAGTCTATAATTTATTTTTTTATTATATTATTATTTATTTTAAATTAATATTGTT